TGGGGGGGGGTGGCCGCTCGCGCAGTTCTGCACGAGATAAGCGTTTGCAAACCCCGTGCGAAAGAACACAAACCAACCACCAAAAAAAAAAGTAACTTTTAGGGAAAAAAAAAAAAAGAAAAAAAAAAGCAAGAGCTCCTCGCCTGGCCCCGCGGCACCCACCTGCTTCAGCTCGTTGGTGAAGTAGATGTAGGTGACGGCCACGCAGACGGACTGCAGCAGCACCGCAGCCACCAGCACGGCCCCGCATGTGTGCGCGGGGCTCGGCCCGCCCGCGGGCACCATCTTAGCGGCGGGACCGTGCGGAGCGGCTCCGCGGCCCTTATAAGGGGCTTCCCCTTCACAGGAGGCGGGGTCGGGCCGCCTCCTGCGCGCTCCCGCCTCCCGGTAACGCTCCGGGCGGCCTTGGGGTGGTCCGAAAGAAAGGCCCGTGAAAAACGGCCTCCGTGCTGCCTTGTTTAACGCAGCTGCTGCGTTCCTATGCTAGAAGTTCGCAGGAGTCGATTAAAAAATGCACGGCTAACGTGGAGGAGGAGCCCCGCCTGCTGGGGGGGGGGGGGGCTGTGCCCCTTTCCATCCCCATCCTCCGACTTCGACTGAAGGAAGCAAAATTCTTCCTTCTCTGTTTACTTTCAAAACGAACAGAAGCGCAAGAGAAACAAAAGTGAAAGCATCTGCTGGACGCTCCTGCTTCTGGTAAAGAATCACAGAATCATTACGCTTGGAAGAGACCTCTAAGATCCCCAGGTCCAACCCCAAAACATCCCCACTGCCCACATCCCTCAGTGCCACATCCCCACGGCTCTGAACACCCCAGGGACGGTGACGCCACCACTCGCTGGACATTTGTGCCACTGCTATCAGAACTGTTTCCTAACATCCGACCTGAACCTCCCCTGGCACAACGTTTTGTCTTTAATGCATGTAAACTCACACTGAAAATAATTTGTTTCAAAGGTTCTGAGAGTATAAAATTTCTGTTTTGATGAAATTCTACTGCAGCAAAACCTCAAGGTCGTGACACCAGTTGGAAAGAATGCTGCCAGCACTTTTTTTAACCAAAATTAAGTTGTGTTCCATGCATAGCGCTGATGGAAGCAGCTTGCTAGCAAAACTTCTGATCCTTCCTGGCTCTTCCTATTAAATCCTATTAAAGCTTGCCCAGGAAAGCCTTTAACAAGGGATAAGCCTTCATCTGTGCCGCAGACACAGGACCCATGTTGTTGATCTGGCAGGGAAGCACCTGGCCTTGGAGCCACAATGCCTGGGAGCTGTTCCTCCCCAGCAGTGATGTTTCCACAGCAGGATGGAGGTTAGTGTGTATTTATTTCTGTACTTCCCCGACTGATGCAGATGGTTATCAGAGCTGTCATCCCACGAGCCCCAGCACAGTAGGCCTGTGCTCATTTTCCAAGGCAGAGAAAGCAGAAGTAACTTTTGGGTAAGCAGCAGTTGGTGATGATGCACTGCATCCCAACTCCTTGGTTGCCCAAGGAGGCTGTGGATGCCCCATCCCTGGAGGCATTCAAAGCCAGGCTGGATGTGGCTCTGGGCTGCCTGGTCTGGTGGTTGGCAACTTGCACATAGCAGGGGGGGGTGAAACTAGATGATCTTTGAGGTCCTTTTTAACCCAGGCCATTCTACGATTCAGTTCTCAGCACTGGTTTCTCTGCCCAGCAGTGAATGAGGCTGTGCTTTTCATCACAGGTATCAGAAGGCACAAAAGTCACAGTCCATGCTGGGCAGCACAGAGTTAATTCTGCAAGTGTGGGACAGATCGCATCTTGGCTCCTGCAGTTCCTGTCTGCACCAGATTTAGACCTCATGTTTTGTTGTGAACTGCTGCAAATTCATGAGTTAATCATCACTTGCATTGTCACAGAATTGGAATGAGGATGAATTTATCAGTGTAATGCTCTCTTTGGCCTATGGCATTACACAACAACAGTGGGCAAGCATCCCCAGCATGCACCCACATTTCAAGCTCTGGTCTGGGGCTTCTGTCTCACATTTCAAAATTTTTGTTTGTCTTAGAATGAGATTTTGGTCAAAAAGAAAAGTTTCTAAAAACTTCATGTGGAATAGTTGAAATGATTTTGCAATCTCAGTAACATTTATATCCATCGTTAAGAACTATAGGGATATACTTTCCTGTACGTCCCTCGAGATCACGAGGTGGAACTGCAACAGGAGCAGACCCCACAGCGGTCTGGCCATGCAGTGAATGCTGTTGCACTGCCAGGCTGTGCAGTGGTGCTGCCAAGGACCTGGGAGTGCAAAAGGCATGTCTGCAGCCGTGGGTAAGCCTGTCTCTTTGTTACATGAACAAAGTGATAATGTTGAAACAGGTTCATTGCAGCTCTGGAGGTAGCTGTGAAGAAAGCCATGGCACACTGAGCTGCTGCCACTGTGTTTCAGAAAGGGGAAGAATTGTCCTTTGCACATAGCAGTGTCCTAGTGAGCAATCAGGTAAAGCCTCGAAGCATGAAATTTCATTATCTTCAGCACAGATGAGTGCCCTTAACCTCCCTTGAAAATAAAAGGCAAACATTTCTCTTTAGGATGCTAGATCTCTATGCAAAGAAAAGTCTTTTTCAGAGGCTTCTTCACGGTGAAGCACCTGTCACATGCCTGTCTAGCTTTGCCCAGCTAGTTTCCTGCCAGGACCATCTTGAGGATGGGCTAATGAGTGCAGGGAATAGCTCTGTTTGCATCTTGCACTGCCAACACCTGTGCATGTGTAGGAAGAGGATCTGTCATGTGTGGTGGTACTGGTTGCTGTGGGTATTCCCTTCGGTTTGTTTTCGCTGTGAGGAAATGGCCATTTCAGTGCCATGGAGGCGTTGGGTTGCCTGGTGGCTGCTTTCTTTGTGGGAAGTTGACACTGACTGGTTGCTGAATGCGTTGTATTCTGATCTAGATACTCACTGAGATACAAATGTTCTTCTGCCACTTCTTTTATGCCTGTTGAAAGACTTCATGCCGGTAGCTAGAAAGTTTCATCTGTTCAGTCTTTCATGCTGCATAGTTCATATAAGAAAAACAATAACAAGAAGGAAATCTGGCCATGGATGTTCCCATTCTTTAGCTCTGGGACATGGAAGACCTATGGGAGTGAGGTATAGCGATTCTCCTTCAGGAAATACTCTTTGGAATCCTTCAGTGTGTTAGTATCTGCAGCATCTCAGATGCAGTTCTTTTCAGCTTACCAGCTGTGCATTCAGGGGGCTGTTGAGAGCTCAGGGAAGAAGCAGGTTGGCCTGCACTGGACAAAACTACCCAGAGCTTTGGAGAGAACCTTCTGAGGTCAGTGACAGGGAAGGATGTAGTGGTGAAGTGCAGGATGGTGCAGGCTGGGAGGGGAAGCTGAATTGCTGGTGCATGTTGCTGGGCTATCGGTCAGTGGAGCAAACCTGAAAGGAGACACTGGAATACAGGGAGCACGCCAACAATATCACAGCAATGATAAAATTGCACGCACTTTAATATTATAGGTGTTGCATAAATGTCATGCAGGAGATGCAGAAATAGCTTTTTGCTTATGTGGATCTTCAGTTTGTGTTTTCAGTGGTGCTGAATGGCAAACACATTTTCATTCTGCCCTGAAAAATGAGTCTTTATGCAGCAAGAAGCAGAAGCTCCCCACAGCTACCAGCAAGCCCAGGATCAGTGCAGCTCTTTGGCCCAACAGCTACACGGAGGGGACCTGTGCTGCTCCAGCATTTACAGATGGCAAATTTTGCCAGGTGCAAGGTGAGTTTCTGGGCTTGAACAGCACTGAAACACAGAAAAAGAAAAGGGCAGAAGGGAGCACTGAAAGGGGAGCTGTCTCCTGGATCAACACGCCTTTCTTTTCACCATTCCTACTCCAATGTTATGTAATATTTAACTGAAAAATATAACTATAGCAATATTTAACTAAAAGTAAACTGCTGCGTACTTCACTGAGCTGCAGTGTATTTACTCTTAGGGCTCAGGTTTTTGCTTTGCTGTGCTCAGTTTTTTCAAGTTGAACTCAAGCTGGCATCAGTGTGCGAGAGGAGAACTGGAGTGTCTGGGAATGAAAAGGTTTAACAAACACTTCTTCAGACTCTTTTAAGAAGGATTTCCTTATTTACTCGGGAAGGATGTTCAGAAAGATTCCCCATAATAAACAGCTAATTCCTTAATTCCTGAGGTAGAGAACAAAGTATTTTTAACAATTAGTTTCAGAGCTGTGTGTTTGCTGTATGCAGCCCAGTATTCATTTTGAATAACTCGCAATACTTGTTTTATTCTCATTAGTTGAGATGTGAGTTCACACGTAAGCAAACCACCAAGACTTCTCTCAGCAAGCAAAAAGTTCCTGACTTGTATTCGACTTTGTTCAGACATTACTCTTGTTTGTCTGAGTATCAGCATTATCAGCAGATTAACTACTATTCTAGTCACTCAGAACTGCCAGGTAACTTATTAACAGAAGGTTTATTCAGGTAATGCAAATAAAGTGCATTTGAAAACAAAACATCAAATGTCAACAGTTAGAAAGAGCCTTCACAGAGGTGCTTAGAGTCCCATTGAAGACTCATATTTCTTCTCAGATCTGAGTGCATGGTGTTTAGGGATCCACACGTTTCAGATGGTGTTTCCAAGTGGATGTGTAGAGTCGTTGGGTCTTCCTTTAACCGTAAATCAGCATGGGCAGGATTTCTGAACTGGAGAGGATGACTGGGAGGGAGAGGTTGCAGGAGGGAATGAATAGGGTGTGTGCAAGGGTCCTGCAGTGGGTAGAGAAGAGAAGCCTTGAAAATCCCCACTGCCCCCATCTCTGCAGAGGAGGCAGGCAAGCCTTGTAAGCTCCTCCTTGCAACTCACAAGGATTTGCTTCTTTTATCATGGTGGCTTTGGAGCTGGGGCAGCAGCAGTGCCTGACCATCCCCTCCCACGCTGTGCTGGAGCTGACAAGGACAACGGGGGCCACTATGCAAAGGTAGATCACAGAAGAAGGTAAAAAAGCATGTTTGTACTGACTCTGTTTTCTGGAAGCTGTTTTGCAGCAGGGACACCAGACTGGTGGGGCACAGCTGAGGGCACGACAAACTGCACAGCACAGCAAAACGTGGGAGGAGATGCTTAAAACAATTTTTCTACTCATGGACATGATCTCGTGATGACTCATATAGATAGAATCGACCTTTTCTAAACCCAATCTCCTACAGTTGATCAAGGATCTTAGATTGCATGAGGAAAACTTTACTGGTGGAGGAGGAAGATTGGAAATGCAGCAAAGGCATGTCCTGCAGGCTCAACCATCAACTCAGATAACAAAGGAATCCAGACTTCCCTGTACAATGTTTCACAATAGTAAAACCGTTTTAAAGCTTTTTCCAGATGAGCATTGAAAACTTGTGTTGGCAGATTCTGTAGGTAAGATTGCCATGGAAAGGGCTGCAGAGGGTGTTTGTGTCCTTTTAAAGATACATGGACACACAGAGATGGATCTGGAGAAGCACAGCTCGAAGTTGACATTGGCAAGAGCTGACAAAGCCCAAAGACGTGCTGGTATAAGGCCTTGGTGGGTCTCAGCTCAGCAGTGAGGAGGCTGCAAATGGGTGAAGCCATGGCAAAGCACACAGCACTCTGCCCTGTGCTCTTGCTGTTTGCTTTGGATCAGCTCTGTGCACACTGGGACCACTACAGTTCTTAAGCCAGCCAAGAGCTGGACAGTTACCTTGTGGGCTAGTGAGGAAGCACTGGCTTGGGGAAGAGCTCAAGGAGAGGAGGGGAGCCTGCATTCTCATGCTGCTCAAACAGATTGGGAGGAAGATCTGCCCAATGCTTATCCATAATGAAATTAATTTTGGAAGGCAACAGCTCTTTTTGAGAAATCACTCTATTTACAAGAATGGGGATTTTTTATTTTCAGTTTTGCTTTTGTGTTCTTTGTTACTAGCAGTTTCCATTTTAGCAGTGCTTCTTGGCAAAGGAAGTGATAAATACAAACTTGAGTTACACCCATGCTTTGTTTTAGCAGGCACTTCCAGCTGGGCACTGGGACAGTGCAGTGGTGCCCTTTGGGAAGGTCTCTGCAGTCTTCTTCAGTTCCCATGGCTGGTTTATGATGTGGTGGCACAAAGAGTTTATGTGATGTATTTGAGGGGCAAAGTGGTACAGTGCTGCACAAGGAGCCTTCGTCCAAGGCTGTGTCCTGAGCTCCCCTTTTGTGAAAGAAGGGCTGGGGTCATTCACATGCTCCTTCCACCACAGCTTAACAACCAAGACTTTTTGAGCCATACTGAAACCACGTTGATGTTACTCCATGCCAGTGCCCAGCTGTATAAAGGACATTTGTCTTATTTGGAGAAATACAGCCCCCCTTCCCCATAACACACTTTGAAGAGAAAGGTGGAAGGTGGAGCTGGGTAAGTGCACCTTGTGGCTGAAGTGTGCATGCTAAGAGCAGGCTGTGAATTTTAACTTGCTCTTTTAACACAAAAGCTTAGCTCCTAAACTAGGAAACAGCCTTTGTACTCACTGCTATCAGCAAGTTCACTGTTTTCACTATTACAGCTGAAATAGGAGAACTGGGTGTGTAATTAGACAGCAAGACAACTTATAGCACAATATGTTTGCCATCTTCTTCTGCTAGCTGCTGATGGCTCTACATGTGTTATTTAAATTACAGCCTAGCAGAGGACACTGAGTTGCTCTTACAGATCTAAATATGAGGATTATCAGGGTTCTTCCATTGGGATTGCCCAAGAGGAGAGATCATGGCCAGGACCCTTGCTGGGAGCGGAGACCCCCGGTGTGCTCTGCAGATTTGCAAACAGCTGTATTTCCTTTTCTTCACTTTGTCTTTTTAAGACACAGTTACCACTGCTGACAAGGAAGGGGTGCTGGTTTTAATTTTGAATCAGTCAAAACTGATAAACTACCCAGAAGTAATGGATGTGCGTTTTGAGCACCCCTCATTGCAGTCTGCCTACAGAACCTACTTTCAAGCAGCAATTTCCTCATCTCTCAAGATATCCAGAGAGTAGAAGTTAGAGATGTTTTATAAATATTCCACACATAACCTGTTTTTTTCCAGGCGTATCCTTTTTCTTCACTCAGAAATTTTCTCCAGGGTCATCTGAGGCTGTGATAACGTGCAGAGCATCCCTCAGCAGCCTGCTGAGCCTGCAGAAATCTCAAATTTACACCATGTCCATCTTCAGCAGGAGTCAGATTATTTGGGATTTGCACACATAGTCCAGAAAACTGAGGCATACAGGTTTGGCAAATCAGATGGATCCTGCATATATGCCTTCACTATATGCATGCATATATTGTACAAGTGCTTATATTCCTAGCTTGAACATTGTGAAGAGAAAAATGATGTTTCTAATTTGTAATTTTTTGGTGCTTATCTTGTTATAAGCGTAACATGCACTTATTCCAAATAAATAATTTGTGTTTCATTCCCAAGGGAGCACAATAGCTAGGCAGGGACAGCAGATTGCAGATAACACGCTTATAATCAATTAGCAGAACAATGCAGTCCTCTGAAGTTTTCTGCAAAGCGTTCAACTTATAAACGTGCACAGAGACGAGGGCAGGAGCTGAGATCTGAACCTGGAGGGAAACTATGGCAGCAGGAGATATAAACTGGCAAGTGAGGAAGTTTTGCTAAGAGGAAAAAGCAGATGAGAGCACATTGTTAAAAAAAATCCCTTTTCAAGCCTGGCTTCCTGCCTGGAGATTTGGCACTGTGGTTGTTTTGAAAGAACTCTGTCAATTCCCAGTGCAGTTCCTGAGCTCAATGACTTTCCATCTGGTGGGGCTCACAGAGAAAACCCTTGCTCTCCACCAGATGAGTGTCTCTGCCTGCCACAGAATTCAGGCTCCTTACAGAGCAGGACCAACGTATATAGGAGTCCTGATGTAAGTCCTGATGTAGGTTAGCAGTGCTCTACCTCCACTCTGATGTGTGTGTTACTGGGTCTGTCCCTTCCCTCCTTAGGGACAGCCCAGGTGTGAGATGTCCTTGGGTTGACATTCTCAAGCCCTACAGCTCCTGTCACCGCTCATGATGGGAGGAGAAGAAATCATTCTCATGGATGCTTGATCTAGCAGTTGTTTCTTTAGACACCAAACTGCATCCAGCTGATGAAGGTGTGTGCTCTGGGACAGATCTTGAGCCCAGCACTCCCGAGTGCTCCCTGGGCTCCTCTCTGGGTGATTTTTCTCTGACTTCAGCCACACCATTCAGCCTTCCTACCACAGAGTGTCTCTGTCTTCCAGGGGACCACCAGACGGAAGAAATCTCAGCACCCATTTCCTCCGCAGGCAGATTATGAAGAATTCATGCTTGAAGAGCACTTTGAGAGAACTGAGTTTTAAGACTGAATTATTGACGCTTTGACAAACCTTTTGTGTGTGTGTGTGTGAGAATTACTCAATATGTTGACTAATCGGATAACGTACATGGCACTGCTCCAAACTTAAAGCCTCCATGTCTGCATAGGTATGAATGTGCATGGGTGAATGTACAGCTACCATTAAACACATATATATATCTGAATACCTCTACACAATGTACAGTAGTCCTCAGTTTTGCTGCATTTAGCACAATTTTGCTTAATGTGCTTTACGTACCCATGATGATATTCATCCCTGATGGAGTACTGCTGTAGTTGAGTCAGCTGTCTGTTTAGCACATAAGACATCTGGTATTTAAATTCCTTAACATAGACAGTATATTTCAGATAAAGGCAGCTCAGTGTTTGGTGAGCACGCAACTCTCCAAAATTGCCATCAGGTTACTTTGCTGGTGCAGAGACTTGATGTATGTTCAGCATGGGCTTACAGTACCTGCAGACTATGCAGTCTTTATAACATCTATTGTATTCACCTTTATCTTTTTCTCACATTCATGCAGATAGAAAGCATCATGTCCAAGCTGGCTTCCAAAATTTCTCCCTAATTTCTGCTCTTTGGTGGGCTCTCAGCAGTTACTGCAGAAGGTGAATCCTGTGAAGGTAAGAAGAAACAAGCGGGCTTTAAGTTCCAAGTGATCTGGACTGAGATGTGTTTTCTGGGCAGAAATGTTGAACACAATAAAGCATTATCTTGAGCTAAAGGCTTAAGGTAAAGGTTGCGTACTGCTTAAGACACCATATTAATCTAACAGCATCACCAGTTTTGTGTAGCTGCAGGAGTATCTGTCCTTATCCTATGCAGACAGCATCAGTGAAAGGTCAGCTGGTGGTCAGCATCGTGCTTCGCTGGGTCGGCAGCACAGCTGAATGTTGCCAGGAAATGAACATTTGTACGGCCCGAGGAGCATTTTTAAGGTATGCGTTATCTGTTTGTGAAATCCACTTTTCCAAAAGCAAAATATTTATGTCTGAAGCTTTTATTCCCAGTCATGGCAATGCACTTCCCTGCAACTCTGCTCCGTGTTGTGAATGCTCTGAGTGGAAGGAAAACAGCTTGATGCTTGGGCTGTGCTCCTGGCAGCTGTAAATCCGAGTCATAACTTGCACACCAAGTGTTGTGAAATCTCTGACACTGGATGAACGTCGAACAGCTGGATTTCATCCCTTGCAACACCACTTTTTGACTGTAAAGTAGTGCTTATGGTAGTGCTACTTTGAACTGAAGATTGTAAGCTAAATGAACAGGGGAGCAAAGATGCCTGTGCACTGGAGGCATCAGCATGCACATGCACAAAGACCCCACTATGTAGACATCCCCTGCAGAGCCACAGAAGCAATGCGGAGGTGTGCTTTGTGCTCAGAGACACAGCCAGCTAAAGGGATTACCTTCAGGCTGGTGAGAAACATCACCCCCTTTGGGAGCTGGTGGAGAGAGCGAGTTGTTGCAGGAGCCCTGACACTGCAGAGCACACCTGTATGCTGACACAGAGTAGAAGGAATGACCTGTTGATGCTGAAGGAGCCTGCTGTGTGGCTCCCAGCTGCTTGCTCCCATGGTTTCCCCTGAAATGCCTTTCCTTGCCCTGTGCCAGCACTGCATGCACACCCACAACAAATAATTCATTTGGTGCTTTTCTCCCTGCCTGGAATTTCCACAAAAGTTTTGTTCTTACAGCTGATGGTTTTGGGGTTTGAAATGTGTGCAGATATCTTTGGGATGGCGCGTTGGATTCGATCCTGCCCTCATTCCAATTAATACCCAAATTCACATGAAGTGCAGCAGGAACAAGCTTGTTTTATGGCGGACAGCCTGGAAACACTGTACTAAGCAGTGTGGCTTTCCAAAACTAGATGTGATTAACAACACCGCTGTAGTGTTTTGTTAGGCTGGAAGGCCAAATAGTCTGTGGAGAAGCCAAATACAGGCATGTTTTCTTTATAGTCAGCAAAAATGGCTTGAAAACCTGCTGAACAGCTGCCAGGCTTTTGGAACTCTGAATGCAATGCACACACAGTTGGGTCAACTGTCTATCAGCATTAAAAGTGAAGCTCTCTCAGAATTAACAGAAATATTTGAAATAATGCCTGCAGAAAAGGTGACCAGCTGTGTTGCAGCTGCTGCACAGAGCCCTGGGGAATCAGGCTTTCCCAAAGAAACCCTGGAAGCTTTGCAGTGTTGATAAATAGCTGCTTACTTTGTCTTCATACACAGGACTCAGGCAGATGAGCAAATTGCTCTGTCACCATGAAGGCTGGCACTTTCAAAGTTATTTACTCTGGTGAGAAGTGCAGATCTAGTAGGAAGGAAAAAAAAACCACCTAGGCTCAAGGAAAAATGTGTATATTTTCTGTTTATTTCACCTTGCAACTGACATGGATTTAGGAACACAGCTGTGGCAATGCATTTGTATGTTTAAACCCATAAGGACTATCCTAACCATAGAGAGTTTACACTCCAAATACACTCCTGTGTGCATACAGAGTGCTGTGCAGCACCAGTGGAAATTGTGTGATGGTTCACTTCTGCAGGAGGTGCAGGGCTGATGTCTGAAGAAAACAGCTGAGCACAGATGAGCAAATGTGTTGCTGTTGGGTTTGTAGGAAGGCCTTTGGTTCAAAAACCTTATACCAATTTCACCTACAATCAAGGAAGGAGCTTTCTTAATGCAGATTCCCTAGCAATTTCTGACAAATGTTGGGAATAGAAAAGTACACCCACCAAGATGGCTCTGCCCAATTGCTATTCCTCCTCGATCTGCCTGTTACGAGCTTTCTCACACTAGTGTGAGATGCTGATGTGGAAGGGGATACTGTGGCTTCAGTCCTTCTTGACATTCGGGATGCACTTCCCAAGCCTCTTTTTCCACCCTGCTGTGTGAAATCAAGTTTGGCAAAATCTTGAGGGAATTAAACTGCAATGGAGTGATCTCTTTGCTCAATTCATATTTGCTGCCTGCCTGATTTATGTTGAGAAGAGGCAGTTGGGCATGCCAATTATCCTGTCTTTTATTTGCCTTGTGCATTGAGCCTTTGGCTACTAGAATTAAACTGGAAAATGCAATTAAAAGCATTAGCTGTAGCAAGCATACCACAAAATATCATTATATGCTTGACAATGTTCTCCTTCATATTGTTAATCCCCCCAGATCTACCTGCGCTATTAGATTTCATATATGGATTTTATTTTTCTCAAAAGACTAAATTAATTGGGATGAGCAAGTTGTGCACCTAATTGTGTAAGGAAAGAAAAGGAAGATGTCACCGTACTGAGAACCTCTTGGTAAACATAGTCTCAGCTGGAGAGCAAACGTTATTCAAGCTTCAAATGTTTGTGGGTACCGAGATGACTTATACTTGGCTTGGCACACCTTGGAAGTTACTGTGTATAAATGAGATCTGTGGGTCTTTGAGCAGTGCATGCCAGGGCTGAACGCTGGGGCCCTTCTCCTCCCTTCCCTCCCAGGTGAGGTTGAACCAATCTGAATGCATCCATCCTACCACACACGCAGGTACCTGTGTGGGGAGCATGTGCTTGTGAGACACGCTGCTGGTGTCCTTTAAGGAGCAAACTTAGACGGAAGACAAACTTCCCTTGCTCTTCATTCCCAAGATAAAATAGACCATCATAAAAAGCAAAATTCTGACTCAGCATGCAGTTACAGTAAGTTGAAAAGTCAGGAATGCACCAGTGTTGAACACAGCTGCCAAATTCCTGTGGTTATTTCCCTGCAATACAGTCTGAGGAGAAAATCAATAAAGATAAAATAGGCTGAGACGGTATTAACCCTGTAAAGTCTGCAAGGTCAGGTTACTGGCTTTGCCAGCGAGGATCCAAGAATGCTTGATTCTCATACCACTAAGCTGCATGGCCTTCCTTATGGTGAGAATATTCGTGAGTCATGTAAGTGCATGCATAACAACTTTAAAAGATATCTGTTGATCTCTGATAGAAACACTATTGCAGGAAAGAGTTGCTGTTTCCTTATTGCAAAGACCTGACAGAAGTCCTGCTCACCTTCAGTTTAAACCTTCTCTCTACCTGTGCGAGGAGGAGTTCCACAGAAAATAGATGTCTAAGGCCCAAAGGGGTACATGTGGAAAAAAGAAGAACAAAGGAGAATCGAGACAGGCCCAGCTCACTGGTGACGTGCTATGTCTCGTTGTGTGATGACAAACAGGAAGGCTGGCAACTCTGCAGCAGTAAAACAGATTGAACTGGAGAAATGGCAACTTTTTGGCTAGCTGGAGCCTGCCAGGAGTGGTGATATCTCACTGCATGCTGTTGGATTGCAACATTTCGCCTGTTTCTGTTGGTCCTAACGGGAAGTATAAAGGCCTGGATAAGCCTGCCGACTTTGCCCTGCTGGACTCATTTCACTTAATGTTTATTGCTGAAAATAGATGAGAGCAAAAACATAAATGAAACTTTCTTCACTCAGGGGAAACAAAACTTACCTGACTGATACAATCACCCAAGGGTTCTTTGCCATTACTCTGGAGGAGGGATGCAGCTCCAGGAGGGCCCATGGCTGGGTGCATGTGCACACGGGCTGCAGACAGCTGCCCATGCTCGGCCACCAGCCTCGTGTTACCTGGGAAGTATTCCTGCTTCACCGAGGGCTCGTTTCTTTATGAGCGGTTCGGGGAAACAAGCCTAGTGATAGGGCTGAGCAGATAACCAAACAACAGCCCTGTTTTCTTCTGAGTTTTCCTGATTGTTTTATTGGTCTCTGGGAAAGCACCAGGTCAGAATGCTTTGAACATACCTGCCTGCGCTGCAGTTCGCCTGTTGGGAAAGGTTATGGCAAGATCCCAGTCTGTTTCTATTGTTCCAAGCACTGCTCGCCTTGAGCTGGTGCCAGGGGCTCCTTCACACGCAGATTAGATGAGGTAATTATCCGTGCACCGGCAGAAGCCTGCCTGAGTTTCTTGTGTTCCTACTGCTCCCTCACAGTGACAAAGCTGAGGAGACCCCAGGTCCTCATGTGCCCCACAGCTGGGAACAGCTGGCTGCTCGGTCTGGGGACTCAGTCAGCTGCAGACCCACAGCTCCTAAAGAAAACAGGCTTTCTCTTCGCTGCAGCAGGCTGTAGCTAAGGTCTCAACGTGCTGATAATTTCTTCCTTAACGATAAGTGAAGTCTCTCCAGCTGCTGTGAGGAGTAGGGTACTTTCGGAGGGCTTCCAATGCTGCCAGGCTTGGAGCATTTTCAGTGTTGTGAACAGTCAAGGAAAACAGCAGAAATCAGGAACTTTGCTTGAGCAAACTGCTGACACTGAGATGAGCTGCCCTGTGCAGGGCTGGGCTTAGGTGGGTACATGCAGAGGAGTGCAAGAAGTGCTCCTGCACCAGCCTCAGCTTGTAGGTCCAATAGAGAACAAGCCAACACCCTCACAGCTCTGCCTCAGAGCTCATAGAGACTTGGCACTTGTACAAGCGCTGCTGAGAAACTAACAGCGATATTGGGAGGTGGAATTCCCCTCTCCAACCTGTGGTAAACATCCTCAGCCTCCCATTGCGCCAGGTCCCATGCTGCTGGTGGGAGAGCTCAGCGCAGCTCAATCCCACTCGTGCTTCTGGTGTTGGTTTTTAAACCTTCTCCTGCAGTGACAGTCTCCTGGATCCTGAGACTGACAGCAGTGCTGCTCACAGAAAGGTTTAGGCATTAACAGGAAAAGCACCTTCTGCCTTAACCAGTTCTTCAGCTGGAAAACAGAAATTTGATTACAAATCCTGGTACTGATATTAACTTTTAATGATTTCTATGTCCTGACTTGCTTCACAGGCCAGCTGGTTTTGCTTCCAGCTCTGCATACTGAGTCACATGGGGTCAGGCTGAGGCGGACACCTGCAAGTAGAGTGGCGGATTGGAGCTGAGTTAACTAAGCTGCCCTTTGCTGATTGCAGAGTGAGTAAACAAGCCTGTTGAGGAAGTGTCAGGAGGAAGAGCATGAAGCTGAGTTTGCTTTGGTGGGCTAACATGCAAATAGCAGGTCCCCTGCTCTTCACAGCTCAGGTGATACTGTTCTAAGCAGGCAGAAGAGAGCAGAGTGGTCTCTGCTGAGGATAAAGGTGTATTTCAAAGCAATGCCAAGAAATAGGTTACAATTAGAATGTACATTAGGAAGGCCTTAAAAACTGGGATGGGTAGCTGATATAAGTATGAACTTGCACCTGCCTCAAGGTGACATCTCTTTTAGTTCTTGCTCAAACCCAGAAACTCCCTTGGAAATGCCATCAGGTGAGAAGATTACCAGCCTAAAAAATCAGGCTGATGGCACTCGCTGAAATAGGTGGGAAGAAGCCAAATTTATGCTAACAGCCTCACCTTATTTAGAGTGAAAGAAGTATTATCAACCAAGAATCAGTCTATAATCTTTAAGAAAGTGGTTCTAGGTTTGTTACTGTTGCAACACATATAGTGCATGTATGTATGTACATACTTACAATAAGTGGTTCCTTAGAGCATGCTTAAAGATGTTGTCTGGAAGCTTCTGTTTCACCAGTGGCCGTGTTGTTCAGGGTAAGCCATATGATTGCATGGCCACCTTCACCTCTGCAGCTCTGTCACTGACTCACAGTGCTCTGCTGTGGAGTTGGTGGAGTTGGACAACATGCAGCCGAGATGGGTCTGTGCTCAGAGAGGGTCTTTGTGCAGAATATCCCATGTGTGTGCTAATCACTGGGGGGTTAGCTGTGAAATCCACAGGGTGCTCTCTAATTTATCTTTTCAGCACCGTTTTTTGGGTTCTTTTTGGTGGAGGAAGGATGTTGTGAAACTGTGTAAGTAGATACTGAAAGTGTGTTTTACAACCCACAGCATGTTTGCATGCTGGGAATGGAGGTGCTGGAGCAGATGATGTGATAGCTGTTAATGCAATGCAGAGCGTGTACACGTGGCTGGAGTGAAAAGCATCAAAGGTAACTCATCTGATGGCTAAAACAACCCTCAGCCCCACTACTGACAACACCAGGTGATGCTGGCTGCCATGGGCTGCTTTGGTAGTGGGACTCTTGGAAGGGCCCCTGCACTTGCAGCCAGCTGCCTCACACAGCATGGAAAAGCAGAAATAGCCCAGTTTCCCTAGGTTACCCTTGGGGGTTGAAATGCAACCACTTCCAGGGCCACTCACTTCTCTCTGTAGATTTGGGAGACACTGCTATGTCTTATTTCCATGCATCCGTTCTTATATCATTGCATGTGAAGGCAATTAAGGCCCTGAAAATGCAGTGCTACACAACCAGGCAGCTCCATCCTGGGAGCCGCAAGGCAGCCTCCCCTTGGTGCACCCACCCTTTTGGTCCTGCAGGATCACAAGATGCACAGACAGCAAACAAGAGACCCAGATGGCTGCACACATTACAACTGGCTTGCAAATCTGAACTATTTGGAACTGGAGTTGAAAAAATCCTCATGATCTGCCAAGGTCTGAAAGAAAATCAGACTCCAGTGGAAGAATGGCACTGGTTTGGTTCTGGTTTTTGCAAGAAATCTCAGAGCAAGCTCAGATCATGAACTCTGCACATCATCCATTGTAAATTCGTGACTCAGGGGCTGGGCAGCCACAAGTCTTGGCGCAGTTCCTGCTGCAACGCCGCATTTCTACTGTTTTCAAAACACGCTGCACGTTTCCACATGAGTCTTTGTTTTAAACGCTCCCTCTGCTGGCTGTTGTGTGAATTAGCAGACAATAATTCACACACCTCAGTCTGCATTTCAGCTGCAAAGTTGTGCCTGGGTTAATAGCAAAAAACCTTTTTCTGTATTTCTCTACCGCGCTCTGAATCCCGCAGCTCAATTGCACCGCACCTGTGTTTGTAGGAGACACCGTTTTCTATTTACACCAATGATTACTGATGGTTTAAATCCCTCATTACAAAGCGTGTTGCCCCCTTGAGGAGCTCTGCCTCTCCTGCATCTCTGGGCTGTCTTACTATGAAGCACAGCAGTTTAATATTATAATTTCTCCCTTAACAAATGAAGGTCGTGATGAAGTATTTAGTGTTGGCTCGTTCATATACAGCCAGAAACAAAGTAATAATGATAAAAAGTTTTATAAAAGCAGTTTTAAAGGGGAGATTGTAGCATTTCTATTTGTTTTTCTTTTTTTTTTTCCTCTCTTGTTGTTGAACAGCCGATGAACACTTTGAAATGCTGCAGAAAACTAGGGTGGAAAAAAAGTTAAACTTATGTGAGGAGTAAAAGGCAGTCCTGGGGTATGTTTGTGATGTGCTGCTGAAGATTTATGCAACTCTTATGAAAGAAAGAAATGCAGCTGGACTTGTGCCAAAGAAGGGGTTAAAAGCAAGCAGAGAACACGTGCTGTTCCTGGAGACAAACAAAATAGCCTGTGGTCCTGATCCAAGGAGGCTTCTGAGCGCGAGGGAAAGGCAAACAGGTATGAAAATAGAACTAGGATATGCACTGGATTAAACTGATTTCAAACATATCATCTATTAGCACATAAAATCTGTTTATAGAGCAAAATGAGGGACGTGAGCTCAGCTGCCTGTCCTGGAGAGAGCAACAGCGCTTGTGCAGGCATCGTGCATTATCCAGTGCAAGCAAATGTAGTCAGCATTTATCAGATATCAAGGAAGAGAAGGTCATGCACACAGAGCATGGACACACAAACAAGGCTTCCTGCTCTGCAAACATCCACCCTGGTTTGAATTCAGCATTTTGGGCAGTAACTGTCACTGACCTCTTCTAAGTGAAAACTCCAATTGGAAGTGTTGCACATCTAGAAAAAAAGAAAAAAGCAAAAAGCAGTGATCTTGGGGAAACCAGCAGATACATTTCACTTTATTTGTTCTTCAGTAGCACGTTTGAATCGCACTTGCTAATTAGATCTTACAAGATCTTTGCCCTGCACAGGGAAAGAAGCAAACAAACAGTCACATGTACATTACTGAATGCATTTACATCAAGTATGTTGCACTTTGGGTTTTTGAACATCATAAATAAGAGAACTAATTACACCAGCTTAGAGATCAGAGCAGCTTAAGAGGCTTGTCAGGTTAATCTAACATCCTTATTTGAGAAAGTTTCTCATCAAGTTTAATCAGAGATTAGAAATATACCCATGATACAAATCCATATATACAAATTGATATTATTAGTGATTTTTATGCACCGTTACACATTTTCATTTTGCTTCTGGTTTTGAGAAATGCTCAACTCCCATTCTTTAAGAGGCTCCAGGCTGCACAAACAAAAACTTCATTTAGTTCTGTGAATATTGGCCGAAACCGCTGTGGAACTGCTAATACAGTTCCCACATCCGTGAAATAGGATGGAAGTGACCGTAGGTTCATGTTATGCAGGCTTTGTCTTTAAATCTTATGACGATAACTGTAGGAGGGGGGAGAAAAAGTCATCTTTAGAAAGTAGATAGTTGTTTAATGGAAAGGCAATGAGACAAATTTGATGAGTAACTTTTAGAAAGCAGACTTTTCACTACATTTGTGAAATAGTGCTAGAAGCATTTCTGCATCTGATCCTAAATCGTGCAAGGTGCCCTAAACTGCTTTGTGAAATTAAAGGAATGAAGGTGCTACTTACTTCACTAAGACTCTTCAGAAGACTGTAGGATTTTTCTGAATGAGGGTTATTAAAGAAATAAAGCACCACATGAACAAGTAAAGCTTTTTTTTAACATGCATTAACCTTAATCTCTTCCTGCAGGCACCAGACCTCTGTAAAAATGCTGTTAGTGCTCTGCTTGGGTGCCTGCAGCAGTTCAGCTGGAAGCAATGTAAAAAGTAAAGCATTGAATGCCCGCATGGGAGAACCAAGCAGGAGGAAAGGTGAGAATGCAACTAACACTTACTTCGAGGTTTACGCTGAATTTTAATCAAGTGTCCTGTGCAGCTACATACCAAAAGGTCTTTTTACTGCTTTAACTTTACCTCTTTTTGTATGCAACAGAAAACGCAATGCATCTTTGCAGCCGTTATGTACTAAACCATACATGGTAAAAGAAGTCAGGGTACTTTGACAGAGCTAGTTAATACTGAAACAGCTCATCCAAGCTGTGCTGCCATCTTGGATGCCATGTCAAGCTGGTGATGACTTAGTAAATACATTCAATCCAGTTATACACTTACTACCACTTCTTGTGCCAAGACTTAATGTGCTTCAGTGCATGAAGGAAATATACAACCAACTCCAGGAATATATATTCCAGCTCTCCATTTCAGTTAAAAAAAAAAAAATACAGCAGTGATTACATTATAACTTCATAGCAGGTATTTATAACTTAGCTATAAACAAAGGCTGATCTAAAGCTCTGCAGCCTGCTCTCAGGTAATGTAGTTGCCACAGAATTGGTAAGAGTGTTAACCATTTTTTTTCCAGTATTACAACTACTATCTTTTAAAGACTGCAAGTTAATATAAATTACACCTCTTCTGACATGGTTTCCTCCAAGTGGGAAAGCCAGGAGAACCTTACTGTTACAACTCAATGAAAAACATATTTTGATTCTTAGTCATGATCAAGCAAGTGTAGCTGTTTGCATACAGTGAGATGGACACTGGTGCAGTCTCCTTTTCAAGATTAGTAATTTATGAATGGACAGAACTTTGGTATCTCTTTTAAGTGTAAGTTGTACCTACCGAAGTTGTGTCTATGGGGGAGGAACAGAAGACAGATGACTTAAATCTATAAAAAAAACCTCAATACTTCTGCAGTGTTAAGGGGATATGCAGGCCAAAGTTTATTCTGATTTGAAATGTCACTTGGCTGCTCTAATTCCACCAAGCCTTGTAACAATCTAGCTTGACAAAGAATCCGGGCCACTGTTGAAACAGCTTTGGCTTGTGACCTCCACATGAACCTATGCTCAGAAATTAGTTCAGCCTGCATGACTGAGTCTACATTGAGGCCTTGTCTCATTAGCAGCTTAATACATACAGCAACTTAACAACGTGGTGTTTTTAGGATGCACTGATTGAGTAAAGTCATCCTCCTATTTAAGTCATACATCAGTGAAAGCAGACTGTTCTGTATGTATCTTAAATCACAGGAGGCGGCTTGATTTACCAGGCTTTTCATTTTTCTTTTTTCTTTTTTTCTTAGAAGAACTTTTCAGAAATAATCTCAGGACGTTGTTTTTGTTCTGATTCCCCAACAGGCAAGAGCCCTCAGCTTCCTGGTCTTTCACACAAGGCAGGACAGAAATTGGTTCCCCTCCTAGGAGGACAGGCAGTCCAACAGCGCTGCCTGCAGTGGGGCAGAGTGCTCTGAGGCAGCTGCTGAAGAATGACAGACAGTTAAAAGCTGAGGGGTTTGTTCAGTGCCTGCGATTCGGTGATGTATCCCTGTGCTTCACTAATGTCTATGAATTCGGCTTCACAACTCCTTTGTGAGGTAGGCAATGACTACTCCCTGTTTCGCAGGGGAAGAAAGTGAGGCACAAGGAGATTAAGTTGTTCTCTTGGGTTCCTACAGGAAGTCAGCAGTAAAGCCGACAATGAATTTAATCCCCTAGTTTAGTCACGGGACAGCCATTCTCTCTGCCTAGATACAGCGGGCACAACATTTTGATACAGCCTTCATTTCTGCAAGCAGTAAACATCCTGGAAGATAGACACAGTTATAAGTGGTTTCACTTTGCTGTTCTGCATCTCTGAATATTAAAGAATGGTTCAAACTGCAGAGATGTGCTACACAATGGCTAGATCATCTTAGCTAGCACTTCAGGTTCAGTCTACTAGACAGAAGAGGTATAGCAGCGAAGTTCCAATCTAAGTCTCTAGTACAGATTAGAGCCCACTTCTGTTTGCTGTTTCTTTCCTTACAGGAAGCATGAAATACAATAAATGCTACTAGCACAAAAGAAAGTCAATGAACACAGACTTCCACTATTAATTACAAACATTAGTGCAAACCACACAGCAGATTATTTTTAGCACACTCAGTATTTTCTGTAAGGAGGTCACAAAACTGAGGCTTTCAAGACTGTCAGTGTCATATTCTTAGCCAAGTAGTAAGCTTTGAGGCTCACATAATCAACCTAGATTCTGCAGCTACACACATTGTTCTTCATATTTCCATATATGATATAACGTTTTTTAATTTAAAATACTGAAAATATATTCTGTTCTGTGCTTTTACAAAATATAAGCCACTGAAAGTCCATAAAGATCGAATTCCAAAGCTGAATTATGTGTTCAGCTACGAGACTTGCTTAACATAATCTTTACTGCCCAGAAAAGCGATTTTTATTATTTTTAATTTAAGAACCATTTCTCTGTGCGCCTAAAAGCCAACACCTAAATCCATTCCTGATATTCAAATGTGCTTCTCTGCTGACAAAAGTGAGAGGGCTCAGCTTTTCTTCTCTATCAGCAAGTGCTCAACACTGCTGAAAATTAGTTCTCCCTTTTTATACATATTCAGATGTAGATGTAGGTGCTTGGCTTTACCTGGCTCCTTTCTAGAGTTGTGGCCTTTATGCCTAATGAAGAGAGAAAGCTCAAAAGTTTTAGCTAGTTAAGAATGTGACAGGAATGCTGATCTTCTTGCTCAACATTTATGGCTGGCAAGTCATCTGAAAGGAAAAAAAGATCCTGAAGTCTGAAAAACACGTCACAAAGTATTTTGCTGGGCAAGGCCAATTGAGCAGGTGAACGCTACAGTTAGTGGTCTGTGCTCTGCAGCCACCCCCCTGCTGCAGCTGAATGGATGAAATCATAATTTGGAAAAGTGCACTTTTTCACTGATTGTTCTTTTACAAGAACAGACACCAGAGCTGAGCACAGTGTCTTCTAGAGAAGCTCTCTCCTCAGAGGTTTTCATCCAACCACTTTATATAGCTGTTTCTGGTCTGAATTCCTGCAGAGAAATCAGTAGGCCAAATCGTGAATATCATACAGCCATGAAAGCAGTCATCAAAGTGATCGAGTGTGACTTCCACACCAGCGTTCTCCAGCCGCTTGGCATACATCACCCCGTCATCTCTCAGGACATCGTTCTCACAAGTCAGAATATAAGTCTTAGGCTGCAGCTGCAAAGTCTCATTTTCTGCAAGCAGTGGGACTGCTCGCACGTCAAGCAGCGCTGGTATCTCCTGGATTATTTCTGCATTGCCTGTGGTTTGTACTACAGGCTTGTAGTTCTTTTTGAATGATGAGGGCAGTAGGGATGTCCAATTCAGACGTCCTCTGAAAGTCAGAGCTTGATGCACATCAAGAGCAGTGTGGTTGTTAATCAGCAGTGAGTGAGCCAAGTCATAATTACCATTGAAATAGTCTATCCAGTAGTTAATCATGACATAACGAGGAAGAACGGGCATATTCATGTTCTGCTGATATGAAGGTGTATTGAAGTCAAATGCCTGAAGGACTGGGTAAATTAATGCCTGCAGTTTTGGTCTGATGATCAAATGCTCATCTTTGCTAAGCTGTGGGAAGAACGGGAAAGAATTGTGATTATAAAGAAAATAAACATTACAGTATCAACCTTGAACTTCACACGAACAACCACTTGATAATTTTTAGACAAGATTCTGCTCTTATGCAATTCCACTGGCAGATAAAGCACTTGTTTTGTCTGAAATGCTAGCAGCCTGATCTTTTTCTTTTCTTATAATAATGATCACTCAGGACAGTTCCAGTATCCTGTTTCCAACAGAAATCAGTAGTAGATATAAAAAACAATAACGTTAAATTATTCTTCTCATACACTTTCCCAGTTAAACTATTTACAGCTGAAGGACTTACTGAGTCAATGGAGCTATCTAAACTTCTAATAGCTTTTCAAGAATTTTTCTTCCATCAATTTATCTAAATTATCTTTTTTAGCTCTTGCAAACTGCTGGCATCTGGTTTTCTCTAGCAAAGGCTTACTGTGTGCAGTAGAGCCTCTGTGTTGGACTAGAACCTACCATCTGCATTTGATTTGAGCCTACAAAGTAAATTTTTGGTACACCCTCATTCCTTTTAGTGGAAGTATCAGCAGACGCTTTTTTTCCTTCACCTTCTACTCAAGATACATAAATCTATATTGTATCTCATCTTGTCTCTTTCAGGCTCAAGAACCTTAGTGTATTTAACCTCTACTGACACAATCTTACATCACTGATTTAAAAAGAATTCAGCATCATGGAAATGAATTATGAATGCTGTTTCCAAAACACAGCTCCATCCTGCTGATCAATCCCCAAGACAAAGACTTTCAATGCCTTATTAATTTTTCCTCGCTAATTCAATACTGCAAGATTGTCATGATAATTAGTTGTCTGAGCAAGGTTGTCATGATAATTAGTTGCCTGAGCAGGCTATGTACCTTCTTATCACCAATGGTTTATGGCAATACAGAAAAACTAATAATATTTCACTCAACCATGACTGATACTATTACTTGCCCCAGGCAAGTCTTTAAAGTCTTTAATAGATTAAATTCAGATTATGCTTAACCAGAGATGCACAAAAGAAAATTTCTTAATTATGAAATGCTGCAGGAAGACAATTTAAGGCTTCATGTATTATATATTTATTGTCCTTCATTTGTATTTGGAGGAAGTAAGAACATATTTTTCTGTGATAAGCACTTGAAAATAGGAAGATAAATTAATAAGTTATGAATGTAGCTAGTTACCTACTTAGGCAAAGTTTCTCAGCAAAACGTGTTACAAGAAATCGTTTAGCTGCTTGTGCTTAAAATTTGGCCCATAAGAACTCATAACTGCACTAAGATATGGCAAGCTACTTGACTCGTGCAATTGACTCATTTTTCTTCTGTAAAATGACAAGATCTGGTTTTCAATGCATAGCAGTGCTACTCTGTCTCTGACACTGGCACATCACCTTGTGATGATGCAGCACAAAGAACCTGTCAACCTATATGCATCACTGAATTAGGGGCTGTTATAGTGTAATTCATCACAGACACTGGATGTTACCTGCTGACACACAGCAGCAGCCAAATTTCCTCCTGCGCTGTCGCCAGAAATTGCAATTCGATTTGGGTCAACTGAATAGTCAGCTAAGACACCAGGCTGCAAAAAATGCTTTGTAGCACGAAGAGCATCGTGGAATTGCTCAGGAAAGCACACCTCTGGTACCAGCCTGTATCTACAAAAGAAGAAGGGAGGTAAGAGACAATTATTAGTTACTATACTTCTCTCTTCTGATCAATAAATACTAGCAGATACATCTTAGTGGCAAATGGCTGTTTTATTAGGATAAATACTAGAGAAAAAAAATGAAGTGTGTAATACTTAAGCTTATAATGAACATTCTTACTCGAAAAGGTTTGTAAGGACCTATTAGATATGAAAAACACCACAGTGGTACAATACTATGCAGTGCTTTCCCAACAAAGGATTTCATCATTCATTATAAAAGTGAATTACTATTAAAAACATCCTTGGTAAGGGAGTTATTCCTGTTGGCCTGTTTTTGATCTCAGCTCCCCACCTTAACTGCTGTGAATGAGAGTGACACCCAGCAGACTCAGCTGAGACAAACACCTCAGTAGTTCTGTTTCCCAAATGTTTATTTAAGCTCAGGAGAGCTGTACCTCTGTACCAGGAAATTAACAGTAGCCAGGAAGTGAAGTAATAATGATTTGCACTAATCCAACAGACTCAATAATTATTCTCCCTTATCAAGGACAGAGGCAGGGATATATGCAGTATCCAAGTGGAGCAGCAGCAGCTGAAACCTGTTTACTGCATTTTCTGAATTCCTTAGTCACAGTGTAGGGGAAGTCAGTTTGTATTTAGTGAATCATTTGTAGTCTGAGAGTTGTTACTGGGCCTTATGGTGCAAAGCACATCTTTCTGGTTGCAGTTTTTGTATCTTTAATGAATTTTACGTATTCTCAGCAGAGCTAATTTATAATGTTTTGAGAAAATATTTCTGTTGTCAGTTTGACAGAAGTTAATGTCATTACAGTGATGTCTTTTAGTTCAAAGTGAAGAAATAATCTTGCCGTTACTTCTGAAGCAAAACAAAATACTGTTTCTTGGTTCAAAGTATTTTCTTGGGAATCTAAGCTAAAAAATATAGTATATGCAAAATGAATTTTAAGCTTAATTTACATCAAGTGTTTCAAACATCAAATCTGTTCTGCTTTCAGTGAACAATATATATTACATCTGCTACAAAGTCATACGAGAGCAGCCTGAGTGAACTAGGCCTTGCAGAACTAGGTGATGTTTTGTATAGATAACAAAAGTGAGATGTGCAGCTCAACCAATGAAGAAAATCTAATTAGACTTCACTAACTGAAAATAAATGCCTTGATTGAAAGATATAATGGCTAAGGAGAGATGACAAACAACTGAGGAACAGCCAGTACTATATCACCCTAAGTGAGAAAATGAGTAACTAGGGACTTTCCAATACTGTGATTGGTACTTGCCTGCTTTTTTCCTTTTTATTTTTTTTCTACTAATAAACAACAAAGAAGTAAAAAAGCGAACCCTTAAAGTACACTACAATGCCTACTGAGAATCAGTAACACCAACTCCATATAATTAAATTGTAATTAGATCACAGAGCTTGATATGTAATCAACTGCAAGTCGGAGCCGTGAGTAGTTCTATCAAGCAATTGGTTTTGCAAAAGAAAATATTGAAGTTGACAATAAGGGTGGGAAGAGTACCACTCAAGTTGGAGTCATCTTGGTAATTTAGTTAGCGAGCTGAGAGGCTTGTTTACTTTGGAATTGTTCAGCTAGTGAAAAAAACAGTGCTGCTTCTCTGTTGTCTAGCACGCTGGCATTCTCCTGCTCTTGAGAGGAGTGCAGGGCTGAAATGAGTTGACTTCAACAGCGGGTGCTTGAGAGAACAGCAGGAACTGCCATGCTTCACTGTGTATTTTGGTTAATGAGCAGTAAAAAGTGATTTGCTAATTCTTAAGTTGCAGACACTTGCTCAGTGCACCTTAGAAGTGGTGTTTTTTAGACAGACTTTAGGTGTTTGGTTTTTTATTTATAATATACCTTTATCTCTTTTGCTCCATAGGGAGTCAGAGGGATGTGGTTTGGCCTTCTTTCAGGTATATAACAAAATTGTTTTTGACAAGCATCAACAGAATTAAAACTTAAGTCAATTGAGTGATCTCAGGTTTTAGGTGCACTCCTTACTTGCAGAAACATTTGTGAGATGCACTTGAACGTGTAAAATTTGCATTTCAGTGTTTTGTCCAAGCGATTAAAAATTCTACTCTTCTCCCACATTTCTGCCCTCTGAAATGACTGTCAAGAGAAACAGAAATCCAACTGAACTTTTGATTCCATTCTAATTTGATATTCTAAAAGGATAATAATATCAGACTGGTAGAGAATTACTGTCCAAGTTTAAAGCCTTATATACAAGTCAGTAACAAGCGAAAAGGGCAAAGCTAGAAGAACTACGTTACGTATTTCCAATACATTAAAATTACGTAATTAATTTTAGATTACTCACTCAATTGAGACAACTACAGCATTGAGAGATTCAGCCATGATTCTGCAGAGGTTGTTATAAAGGCTCGTTCCTGAAACAAAAGGACATAGCATTAGGTACATGCAAGTCCATTTATGGCAGTATTTCACAAAGCTGCACCTAACTGTCTTAGTTTCAGCAGGGATGGAGTTGTTTCCTTCAGGGTGTCTGGTATGGTGCTATGGTTTTTGGTTCTAGGAAAAAAACCAAATGTTGACAACACAGCAATGCTTATAGTTGCTGCTAAGCAGTGCTCTACAGAGCCAAGGACATTTTCAGTGAAGGGCCCAAGGAGCTGGGAGGGAACTGAATTAGGACAGCTGACTTAAAGTGGCCAAAGGGCCATCCCACCCCTCACAGCACTGTGAGGAAGGAGTTTTGAATGGCTGGGAGGTCATCTCTCTTCCACTGCTCACGGGCTAGCCGGGGGCACTGGTTGGTGGCTGGTAGGCAATTGCTTGTGCTTCCTTTGTTACATGCATTTATAAATCTGTGTTTATATACATATAAAAATTATTATCCTTTCCTCTATCTTAGTAAATAATTTTATCTTAACCCCTAAGTTCTACTTTTTTTTTTTTTTTTTAATTCTCTCCCCCATCCCACTGGGAAAGGAGAGTGAGTGAAGGACTGTGTGGTGGTGTGGTGCTCAGGCAGCCGCCAGCTTAAACCACAACAGAAAGCCTTCTCAGAAAACATAAAGACTTCTAACAAACAGAAGTAAATTACATCAGCTTAAACCAGATGATGTTCCAAATGTACGTTTTAGCAGAAGGCACACAATTCACTCCATGAGAAGTCCTGCAGTCTGATGTTTTTTTCCCCTCATCTGTTTGTTGGTGACTTGGGGCTTGTCATTTCACCCATCAGTTCTCACAACAGGACAAAATTCAAGGTACCTGGTGGCCTGGGGCCACTGCATCCGGAAACAGTTGTTACCATATGAGTCACTGATTTTTGTTCATTTTATTGCAGTGTGTATTGCTTTGATTCAAATGAGCTGCCCTATTAATGTCAAGTGAACTACGTGAACTACTTATTTATCAGAGAATTAATCCTGTCTGTCAGTGGACTGATTTTCCTTAATTTTATTTCTTTCCAATTTCTTAATCATGGATTCCTGGTACTATAAAATATACTAGGACACTAAGTGTTTTATAAAGTATTTAGCCTTAGAATTTAGTATTTAGTTGTAAAATTTATGCCATTAATTTCTGAATCTTGGACTTGAGGATAGCTGAGTTACAGCATCCAAACAAAGCATTGTAATTTAATATAAACTATTTGTACAGCAAGTCTTATGCCAACTGTTACAGAACAAATGATATGGACAGGACTCTAACAAATATCCCTTATGTAGGCCTAAGAAAAAATCATTTCAAAGCTCAATTTCTCTGTGAGGAGTGAACAGATTTTGAACTTACTTAGAACACTAAATTTCACTTAAGTTGTGGTATAGGTGGCTTATACATACAGTCTTAATGCAATCAGTACAATCTCTTGCATATTTTAGAACACTTCAGAAAAGCTCACTGAATTTTTTCCTCTTTACAGATGAATCTATGTATGCTTCACAATGCATCAGGGTTGTGAGGCCTTCATGTTGTCCCAGAAGCAATGGGGAAGGACAAAGACTCCTACCTGTTCTTGATCTTTGCCTCGGAGCAGCTGTGAGAACTGCAGGCCCCTATTTTTTCCAAGGCTTTTCTCCTGCTTCGAGATGTGGAAGGATCTGTGCTTAGCTTATTGTTGCCTACAGCTATACCTTACTACAATTAACTTGGAAGTCACAAACATCAGAGAAAGTCGGTGCTGTAAATTTTCAAGGTAGTTTCTGCTCATGATCACAGTAGATTCCATAAGAGAGGGAGTAGGGAACCCATCTCTACCCATATCCTTGGTCATGCTGTTTTCTGGGATCAGCAGTATGTATTCCCAAATACACACTATTGGAAGCCAAACATTAGTAATGCCCTTGCATGTAATTTTGTTCAGTCCACTCTTTTGAGTAATTGTTTGTTTTGTTTATTGTGTAATTTGTCCTGTCGTGATGTTACAAAATTAATCTATTGGTTCTTTTCCAGTTCACATCCTGATAAGATATATATTTTTCCAGTGCACCCATTGTATATTTTTATCATGATTCCTTACATCTGCTGTGCCAGAATGCAGATGGTGACTACTGAATTCAGGTATGTCTCTGCAAAATCATCATCTCCTGGCAGAAAAACAGCCTTTGGTTTCTGCTGCTGGGAGGAAACCACCCCAGAATCCCATTTAGTTACCAGCAGACACGTACTTGCACTTGCCAAGGCCCAGCCGCCTCCGTGGATGTAAACAACACTGCGCTTCAGCGGTTCATCTTGCTTTGCAGGAGGTTCAAACACTCTGACTTCCACACCATCAAAAACAACATCCGTTATGTTAATGGGCTCAGAAGAGACAGACTTCAGCTTGTCAAATGTACAAATCAAATAATTCAGAACTATCAAGTGATGGCTGAGTCTCAGATAGTGAATCAAGTGACACTTTGGGGGGGGAAAAAGAAAAAGGTTAGTTACTTCATACATATATATATATATAAAATGATGCTGCACTGATGCAACCATCTTCAAAAGGCAGCTTCTGTATGAAAACATATCTAAATTCTTAGCATATTCATCAGAAAATGAACGATTATCAAAACTTGTAATGTTTTTAAAGCTGTATTAGAACAAAACCCTGGCAACAAAAGACGTTCCTGCTGCTGAATGACACCTCCGAAAGGGACAAACCTGACTGACCAGCAGATTCCACTTTTCTACTTGCAAAGCTTCTCAGACCGGTGCCAGTAGAGGGCAATACCACACAGTCAACATTTTTTGTGGTGGTGAGGTAGGAAATATGCAAACTATTTCTCTTATTCCACCCCAAAGCGTAAGTCTTTCCATTTCCAAATTAAGTTCTCAGTGATTGCAAAGGCATCTGCAAACAGGAACAGTCTCAAATGAATGCAGTGCTTATTTACTGGCTCACCCTGTATTTGCCCACTGAATTGGAAAAGATGTGAAATGCTATTGAAGACTTGTGGCAGATTTGTGATTTCTTCCCCAGAGACTCAAGCGTGTTACTTCTTCTGTGTGGGTGTGTAAAACGTTAAGAAAATAAAGAAAGATCTCAACTTTCTGTCCCATTCCGGTAGAAGGATGGATTTTATCCCTTCTGAAAATCCAGGATTTTCTTTTCCACTTTCCCCTAAACAAACCTGTTTCTCTAAGCAGATAATCCTGGGATCTAAGGCACTCCTTCAGCCTAAATGCTCATGACCTGCTCCCCATGTACAGCTTGTCAACCCATAACCACTTCAACTGTTTCAATTCTGCTGTTATCACCAGTACAGTGCAAGCCTGCTAGTATGAATTAAACGAGTTCAGTACCAGGAGAGGGAGAGAATGGTCATTCAGGTACCAGTCTAACAGCATTAATACTGCAAACAACACACAGTTGCTGTAGCATAACCTGTACAAAAACTACGTGGAAGCCAAGTGAGTTTCTGTGCGATAAATGTGATTTTCCAAGTGAGAGTTTTACAGTCTCTTTCTGACTTACACGTTCACAAGGAGAGAGATTTCATTTTCTTTCTTTGGCTTTCTTTACTGTCCTTCTGCACTACCATTTTCCAGTTACTTTCAGTGCAGTATCTCTGTTAGGGAATTCTTCTCAAAGAGAAGAGACAGCTAACAGAGGAACACCACTGCTGTCAACACATCCTCCAGAGGAAAAGCAAATTTTGAAGCACCTCCTATCAACTGAGAGACTTCATCCATTCAGCAATATTTATGCCAAAAAGGATCTGCTCCCTTCGTGGAGTGCTCTGCAGCCACTGTCCTTACACACGGCTTTTAAATCCACTATGGTTAGTTTAAATGTAAACAAACAAACGCCTATGACTCAGCTTTCAGTAGATGCTGTGTGAAAAAGACCCTGAGGCAGCCCCGGTTCTACTGCAGATTCCTGTGGAAAGCAACAGACTGAGATTTTTCCCAAAAGGGTCTCTGACTGCCAAGTCCAATGGAGTGGTAACGTGAGTAATGTGGTGTAATGCAAGTGGAGAGAGAGAAACCCATTTCCAAAACAAAAATTTACAGAAGTTACTTTCTTTTCCTGCTTGGATTGGTTACCCTGCTGAAATAGTTTGGTGAGAAACCAAATCTTGGTATGTTTGCTGCTTTGTTGATGGATTATCATTTCTGCATACTTAAGGTCTTTCCTCTGGGAGTAAAAAAAAAAACAAGCATCCACCCAGTGGGCAGAAATGTTGGATTCACAAGACTATATTTTTGAATGTCAGATCATGCTTTTCCCACACTGTTACTTAAAAATTTCCATAGGAAAACACCATTCAAGCTTCAAACTTGAAGAGCAATACACCTATTAATAAGTTGCCATTCAATTTATTGGGCTGCCACTGATTCACCCAGCAAAATGATCTTCTGCGTGCCCCATAGAGGTTCCCAGGGGAGGTAACTAATGGGAAATACTGCCAGGCAAAAAAAATAATTCTTGTAGATTTTTTTCAGACCAACTGTGCTGCTAAAGGCTATTTATCCACATTCTTTGTAGACAGGATTACCACATGTTCCCTGGAATCAGAGATGTTTTCTTTTCAAGGTTAGTTGCAGCTGTTTACTGAGAAGTGTTTTGCCCTGGTTTTATTAAACCACAGAACATCATGGCCCTCTGCAGGTTTATCAGTTGCTTTCATGCCTTTTTCCTGCAATAGGCCACTCTTTCCACGAACCAAAAATAAAATTGAATAACATGGAAGAGATGCCTCGTACACCAAGGCACAAGAGGAACAGTAATAGTTCTTTTACGTTTACCTTGTCAGGTTTCTCTGCCCAGGACTTATAAGCACATTCTTTGGAAATGTATCTCATCAGTCAATTTGGTTGTTATTTACAACAGTCAGGATTGTGCTTTTTGCTGGCAAAGAGCTAGCCTTGTCCAGAGTTCCTACAAACAAAATTCTTATGTAAGACATATCCATAGTACCTTGTGTGTATATGTTTGTATTTAATGGTTGGCTGAATCTCATCTAGGACTGTGTTGCAGCCACAGAGTCATAGAATCACAGAATATCCTGAGTTGGAAGAGACCCATAAGGATCACTGACTCCAACTCCTGGCTCCAGACAGGATCACCTCAAATTCTAACCACATAAACACTTTCATTTTCTAAACAGGTAACCTGAAGAAATGTGGCTGGTAAACTTCATGAGGATGACTAATGGAGCTGAACTTCATCAGGATGACTAACAGAGCTGATGCACCCAGTGAGCTTAGCTGCTGTGGAGCAGGACAGCATGGGCAGGAGGAAGAGCAGGGCAAATGTGAGTACCTTACTGGTGTTTGGGCCAGTTCAGCAAATAGCCACTGTACACACATTACTTACTTGCAATCTATCACCCAGTTCTGATTGCAGCTTTTCATTTTAGGATTGTTGGCACTCTAATCTATGGCTGTTTTGGTAGTGGTGTGATTTATGCTCACTGTTGCACATGCCAACTCTCCAACAAATCCAAGTAACTTCCACAGCAACCATCTTCTCTTTTTACCAGGATATCTTCCTAGCCAGGATTATGAGAAATGACAACCCAAAAAACTAAGCTGTTTAAGATCGCAACTGTCTTCTTCCTAGCAAATTCTTTGATGAGAGATATCAAATAGTGAGAGATGTTTTAACTTCATGCAGGAGAAAACTGTCAAGAAGTGAAGGAGGAGTTAGGGTTGTGATTAAAAACAAAACAAAACAAAAAAACCTCAAAGAACAGTTTTCAAGAAAGGCACCAAAATCTCAGTATCTGCCCCTAAATTGGTAGAACTGGTGGTTCGTCAGGGTCGCGTGGAATCCCAAGAGATCACTGTGATTATGCTTTACCCCTCTTTCACACTTGTACTCTATGTCAGTCATATACTTTCTATTACCAAAAAAAAAAAACCCAAAAAAAACCAACAAAAAAAAAAACGAAACAGAAAAGGTGCATTTCTGTTGCTAATTTCTAAGTTTTTAATAATCTCAAACAACACTGAGCACATCAGGATTGAGGTGACACTGTCCTAAGGGCAACATGAGCTATCCAACTTCACAAATCTCTGACCTTTAGCCTTGAAATTACAGCAGCAGGTTGCATTCAGATGGCACACAAAGGCAGCATGCCAAGCTGAATACATCAGCTGCTTCCCTCACTGCCCTCACAGCAGTGAGGTGCCAGGTTCTGCTCTGACCTTAGCTGAGATCAGGAACTGGGAGTTAGCTTGTGCTGTTTGTCTTTTCACACGAGTCACTGTTCAGCACTGAGCCAAGTCTCATGTGTGACTCACCGAGTAATGATGCTGACACTGGGCGGCTGAACCTCTTAAGACTTAATTTCCTACCTTCAGAAGATGCTGCTGCTCCTGAATGACATTATCCTCAGTTCAGGCGTCATTTTGCAAAACACACTGCTGTAACATTACAGTCCAAAATGCCAACTACAGTATCTGGAGACAGTGAGAGACTAGCAAAAAAAAATAAACAGGCTCATTTCCCCATCTTGCTGCGTGCAGAACATATTGGTCTGACTGCATTTCAGGAAGTTTATCCCATCTAAAGGTTAACCTCTATTTTCTTTCATTTTACAGAGCCATTTCTTAGAACAGGGGCATTACTGCACAGTACCTAACATGTACTTTTGAAAACTGTTATACAGGGAGTCCTCAAGGACTCAAAGATAAGTGCTCTAATTTCCTTTATAACTGGAAGGAAACCAAAAAGGGTGTTTTACAGTTTATCAACTGGGAGAAGCTCTATTATTTTTTCATTGTAAAGTTTCATTCTTACACCTATTCATCCACTATGAACTGCTTTTAGACCAAATTGCCAGTAACTGTTTTCTCTACTGCAAACAGGACTTGCAGTGTATCTGTTCCTACTCATATGCAACATCTAAGACCACAGTGGATTACTGTAAATCAATTTGCAAGACTGTGTCCTTACATGCAAAAATATCAGCTTACTTGGATGGCCTCAGCTATGATTTACATCTCTCCATATATGGGTAGGTAGATTAAATATTAAAATGTTAGATGGAACTAATTACTGTTTACTCTACTCCTGAATGTTGATGCCCCATGCCCTAGATTTTATTCTAAAAGGAAGCAAGTAGCAGAGCAGCATAAAAGCATTTCTTAGCTGATGAGAAGTACAAGGATACTTTTCTCCCCTCTACAGCTGCCTATATTCTTCCACAGATGCCTGCCTGATAGCTTGGATGCCAACATGTTTGTCCTTCCAAACCTGTTAGCAGCAGTGCCAGTTAAAAAATATATTAAAAAGAAATAATAAAAAAAATCCTTTCTTCCTTTCTATGCATCAGAATAGCAAGTACCTTGATAGTGTGGTTCAGAAATAACTTAGGGCTTATTAAATAAATATATGCTGCTCTCTCTACTCCAAGAAGGGATAATGGTAATGAAAAGGAGAGATGTCTCTATCAATCCTGCTGTTAACAGCATAATCATGAAATGTTGCTTTAGGCACTTCTTGACAGATACCATGTAAAACAATTCTGATGGTTTAATTTATTGTTCAGTCCTGTAATTTTGAGTAGCTTTCTGTGGCTGTCCACATTTCAGTGAAGCTGAGTTCTGACAGTCTTACATACATGTGTTCACTGTCTTTCATTTCTGACCAAAAACTTCTGTGTAACAGTGCAGTTTTCTACACAACTGTGGCCAAGTCCCATTTTGAGATAGATGAGAATGATTATTCTCATTCTAAGCTAATGCACCACTTTGTTAATAACACGAGGCTGAAGATTCTGATTTCATTCTGAAAGCAGCACAGCATACTACGCTCAGCACAGGAATAGGGCTCTGAACATCCAGCTCTAGTGTTTGCAGAGACCTCAAATAAGGCACTCTGCATTTCCCCAAAGTAAGATTAGGACAATGGCACCAGCTTCCTTTTGTAATATGTTGTGAAACCTACTTATGAACACTGCCCTATAAGCATTGTGCATTTTTAGCCACGTGACAATACATAAACACTTGGGTTTTGCTCTGATTCAGAGCACTGAGTCAGTCCCAAGCCTGTAAAGGAATTTTATTAGCTGCCTGAGACAAAACTGTACACAGAAATGCAGCACCTTATAATCAGTACACTGAAAAGCAGTGCCAGCTTCAGTATGTTTTATTGGTAGTGCTTATAAAAGGAGTGAGAAACCAAGCACATTATCCCAAACAAGAACTTGTCATGCTCGATTGTCAGAATCAGCACAAATCTATTTCAGAATAGGGAAACAACTGTATTTAGAGCACATAAAGTTTGTTTCATGCTTTGGAATGAGGGATTTTAGTGTACTTTGGAGGTTTTAAAATAAAAATCACTTAGTAACATACTTCTGTCTGGCTATCAAACCTACAAAGGAAAGTCATAAATAGCAAGCTGAGAATACATTCAGAAGTAGGTGAAAGTTCAATGGTCACATTTAGAGCATCGTTAAATCATTTGGTCTCGCAACCTCCGGTAGACAAATGGAAGCTCAGCTCTACAGAAGGACATATACTTGATTTTATATACACACACTAAAGCTGTCTACCACAGTAAGTACTCAGGCTTAACTTCTACAATCTTAGCTTCAGTTCACACAGATCATTCTTAATGGCAGTCACTTACTGCTGACTTTGTGCAACCTCTCAGTGTTGGAAAGACTTCTGAACACTTAGATAGCACCTCATTTTGCTCTCTCTGGAAAGAAAACCCCAAAGTTTACCTGTTCTGTGGTTCGGGGCACCGCTAATGCCTCACTGATGCTTTACGGATCTCTCTGAAAGCCACTCAGTCCTTGTGCTTTGTAAGCTGCCTGTGGCTGATATTTAATAAATTTTCCTTGCTATATGTAATCATTTCTAAGGCCACAGATGGGAACAACAGTCTAACAAGTTACCGCTTTCCCCTAACAGAGATGGAGGCAGATGTGGGCACCTCAGTGCTGCCAGTTTGCTCCAGCTGCCACCAGGGCAGGTTGTATTCTGCCAGCTCCCCTGGGAGGAAGACCTCTGGGATACCCCAGAAGGGATGGGATTGCCTTTGGCCTCCAACCTAGAGACATTGAGACTCATTCAGCTATGCCTTGCAAACCACAAGCAAACAGCATGTGTACGTATGCCAACAGCAGTATACATATATAGAGTTAGTCATATGATTTTCTAAAGATAGGTCTCCTTCAGCTAGAGGTTATGGACTTGATTCAGGTGTTCCTGGAAGAAAGGTTACCACGTATTCTGCAGGCAGGATGCTGTGACCATCGCAGCCCTTCCATTTATTAAACTTCCAGCTCCACTGTAAAGGAATGTGTTGTTATTTTAGTTACCAGCACAAAGCAAGTGCATGTCAAGCCACAGCTTTTTAAAGGAAAACATGCTTTTGTAGGCTATGTCTACACGATTTACCTGTCATAGCAGTATCATTTCTTTAAGGGAGAGTATATAAGCAAAAAGCTTTATTCTTTCACATCCCACTGGCTCAGCTGAGTGGCCTATTGAAAATCAAATAATCATCTGAGTTGGAAAGGACCTTTAAAGGTCATCTAGTCCAACAACCCTGTGATGAACAGGGACATCTAAAGTTCGATTCTACATCTAGTCCCAACTCTGACTGCAAAAGTGGCAGCCAGAGAGGCTATTCAGGGAGAGTATGCAAGCCTGGACACTGTCATCCTGCTTCCGCAATTACTGTCAGGTATATAGAAGATACCTTCCCACCAAGTCCTCCTGGTATCTGTTTATGAGCCCTCTGCCCATGAATTCATTCTTTCTGAATCTGCTGATGCTCTCAACATGCAAGCTGTTGAAGGTTTTAGGGACAACATAACGAACTGGAATGCTGCTAGTAAAAAAGACTGAAATACTTTGACGCAGACAGTACCCTAAATCAGGAGTGACCACAGCTGATCAGTCCTTGTCAAAGATCAGACCAGCCTAGCAAAAAACCAAGCTCATAGCTGAAGCCATCATCAGAAGCCCGTGATCTCTTTCTTTCATGCCAGCACACACATTGTGAGAGAAAGTGAGGGAGAGATCATAAAGCAACAAAACAATCACGTCGTATAGAAAAAACAGCTATTCTGAAAGGGTTTTGTTGACTAATACAGTTTCAAACACAGGCCGCGTGATTTCGACATTTGAAATAGTTTTCCAATGTCTTCTTTCCTTAAAGCATCAGTTAGCGCATGGAAGTAGAAGCCATTAATTATTTTGACCTAAAGCCCCCGGGTCGGAAAACAGCTTGCAGCACACAGGAAGCCCTCCATCACAAAGCCAGCAGGGCGGCTGGATGCCAGCAGTGAACGATCGCCGGCCTCGCCCCCTGCGCGGCCGGCGGACGCGGCAGCGAGCTCTCCTCCCGGGCAGGCCGGGTACCGCAGCACGGCCCGCGATGCCGGCGACGGGCTCTGACGGCGTTTCCTTACCGTCTGCTGCACCGCCCGGAAAGTGGCATCCAGCAGCATCAGCTTCCACGAGTCCGACACGGTGCCGGGCAGCGGCAGGTAGATGTAATAGGCGGCCAGGGCGCCCAGCGCCGCCAGCAGCACCCAGGCGGCCCGCATCGCCCCGCGGGGAGCGGCCTCCACCGGAGGAAGTCCCGGCGCTTCCGCGCCCGCCGCCCCGAGCCGCCGCCTGCGTGTGCGGGAGCGCGGAGTGGCGGCGGGGCCTTTCTCCGCGCCCGCGCAGCCGCCGCCCCGCCCGAGACCCGCCCGCCCTCTGGGGAGGCCGCGCCGCGGAGCTCCGCTGCCCGGGGCCGCCCCGCCGCATCCCCGCCCCGAGCTCCGGCCGTGCTCCGCGGGACCGCGGCGGCTCCGGCAGCGCACGACGTCTTTGTCGGGAAGCACCTGTATTTTAGGCAGGAGAAACGGAGCCTGCGTTTTTAAACGGAGACGGATTTATTATGATGATTTATGTAATTTTATTTTGAAGTGGGATTTTTTTCTTCCCGAGTTCAGTAACAGATTCTGGTTTAACGCAGAGCCATTTGTAGGGAAGACAAATTCTTCTGAATGGGTCTTTTTCACCCCCATAAGTGCTTTCATGTCAGGTACGAATCCTCGTGTTGCACCGTGCAGGAAACAAATTCTACAGAATTCAGTCTGGGCGTAAATTAAATGCCTACTTGAAGCTTAGTCATAGAGCAAATGTAAATATTTATTTAGATAACCAAAGTCATGCATGTTATGACTGTAATCCAAAGAAGGAGCATCAGTTTTAACTGTTAACATTGCTTTTAAAAACTAATTTATAACACTAAAAAGCCACTTGGGAATTTAATAGGGTTCAGGAAAGGACGAGCTTCCTTGAACAACTGACAAGAAGCAGCAATAAAGGAAAAAGATGTTCCTAAAAAGTAAAAGGTCAGCCTGTAGGCCAGCTTTACTGAAACTAAAGTAGAGCGTCACCGATTCTAAATGCAGCAGAAGAAACTTTTTGGAATTTGTAAGGAAGAATCTCAAATATCCTTCAACTTCAACAACAGTGGATTGAATTTCTGTAAGGTCCACCTACCATTTTAAGTAAACTGCAGATAAGAGAGGGCTGTTAGGAAAACAACTGTGCCCAGAAAGCAGTGTGAGATTCCTGAGGTCTCAAGGCCATTCATTTCAGTACTGTGCAGTGCTCACACTTACATCTCTTGTCTTTCTCCCCTGCTTGGCATACTCCCATTCCCTTTCTTTCTAGGACATCTGTCCCCTCAGCTCCGCATCCAAGACCCTTGAACAGCCTTTGTCAAACCTATATCTTGCCCTCCTTTCTTGTCTACTTACCTATTAGAAAACATGTGACCCCCACACATCTCCCTCCTCTCTCACTTTTTGGAAACTATTGCTCTTGCTAGATAGAACAAATATATCCAGTGGAATTTATGTTCATGGCAGTTAGTTGAAAACATAGAACGCTTTAGTCTGAGAAAGATTCCTTTCTTTAACAACAATGGCAAAAATGAAATAAATTCCAACCGAAATCCAACTGCTTACAATTTTTCTAGTGGATGGGCAGTCTGTCTATATAAACTCACACCCTGAAGCCAAGAACCAGCAATAGCTCACCAAGAAACCCAAACAATTGCAGCACACCCAGCTCACAACAACACAGGGCACTGATGTTCCCTTCAGGCCTCTTGGCATTACAACAGCTTTTCTCTTGTGGTTGCATGGCTTCTTCCAGAAGGTGTTACATCACTGCTCCCATGGAGATTATGTGATCAGACTCAGTGAGTGATTTAATCTCCTGGAATTTTCTTCCTGTGAGTTTTATTGCAAGGAGAGACTCTTTAACTATTGAACAAATGTTGTATTCATGGGTTATTGATGTCTAGATAACTGGAAGGAACAGCAAGTTTCAGCTGCTCACTACATTCTGCGCAACCAAAAAAACAAAAAAAAAGGTGCTTGTATTTTAGAGCCTTTTATAAAGAAAAGCACTGAGATTTCTAAACGTCAGATGTAGAAGGCATAGTAATTATTTGGTCATCAGGTCTGATCTCAGCTTTGGTGAGAATAAAAGTGTTTTATTAAAATAATTCTTGACTACTCTTCTTAAGCGATTGCCACCAAAAATTTGGCTCTCGGTCCCAGGAAGGATGGCTTAAGAGGTTCAATTAGAATGCTCTTGTTGCTTTATGAGATTGTGACTTTAGATTTTCAAACATGTTCAAAAAATAGGTCCATCCGCTCTTCACGTGAACTGGGAGATGTTATTAATCTGCTGAAGGTTTACACTTCCATTCTGGTGCCTTCAAGGTGTCAGAAAGCCCTCAGCTTTGGCTGTAAGTCATTGCTGTGATTGCTGTGTATGAAATACGGTCGCTGGACGACTAATGGTTGACTGAAATGTCAAAACTGAAACGACTGCCCTGATGTCTGAAATCTCGTCCTCGAGAAAATAATCCTCGCTTACATACACTTCACCAGCAAACCTTCAGTCGCATAAGCAACACCTGCTATCATCGTATCCGCTTTTCCCTATTTTTCATGATGGACAACATCGTTATTTGTCATCTCATTCACGGAGCCCAAAGGTGTTTTGGGGAGAGGCCGGGCGGCGCCCTGAGACATCGCCTGGCGATACGGGAGGGGCGGCAGCGACCGAGGAGCCTCAGCGCGGCCCCGGCCCTGCGACCGTTGGAAGAGTTCGAAACGCCCCTGCAGCCAATCAGCGCGCAGCACGCCCCGCCCAGTCAGCAACCTGCTCTCGGGTACCTCAGAAGGGGGTGGGGCGCTCCAGCGGCCCAATGAGAAGGCGGATTATAGAACAGAAATGTGACGGGCAGCCAATGGGCGGCGCGCTTAGTGCGGCGGCTCGCTTTTTGAATCGGTGACGGCGGCTGATGGTGGTGGTGGTTGTTGCGGTCGGTGGCAGGTGGCGGTGAGAGGGAGCCGGGCGGGTCGGGTCGGGGCAGCGCGGAGCCGTGCGGCCGGGTCGGGGCTAAGCCGAGCCCGAAGAGGGCGGCTCCGTGTGCGGGCAGCATGGGGCCGTGCCGCGTAGGAAGGCCCGAGGTCGCCCGTGGGGCGGCGGCCCGGCCTGCTGGCACCTGGCGGCCCGTGAGCGCTGCGGCAGCTGGGCGTCACCCCGCCTGCAGAGCGTGCCTGCTTTAGAGAGCTCGGTGACAGCGCCTCCTTTAAGCCTTGTTCCAGGGGTTGGATATCTTGTGATGTTCAGGTTTTCCCCAAAGCGCAGGGAGATCGTTTATAAGCGTTTTTAGGTTCCCTCTTATGTAGGGGGGAGCTGCTGTGTGCACGTCTTGTGTGTGTGTGCGTGCTGTTTGTTCTGTGCTTTGGCACTGCCACGTGTGGCTCTGGCAACTAGGTTTGCTGTGTTATTGACTAATCTGGGTTGTTATAACAGAATTTGAAGCATCCAAAGTGAAAGCACGTGAATAAACTAGGAAAACCATCTAGAAAATCAGTGCCCAACTCAGTGTATGGGTTACTTTATAATGTACAGCAGGGTTCTCTGGAAGTGTGTATTTGTTGATATGTCTCTAAGTCTAACTACAGCGGTAGGACAGGAGTCATATCATGAATTTGTGAAGAAATCTGTAGGGTTTTAAATTGACAGCAGACTTAATTGGAGAGTTTGTGATCTAACTGCAGATAAGTAGCTTTTCTTCCTGTGTTGTCATGCCAGAACATTCACTTCATTTGTCTTCCAGTTCTTATTTCCCACGTAACTGGGTAGGCATTGCACAACTTGTGCTATTTCAAGTTTTGCTATTTCAAGAATCCTTATTCAAGCAGTGCTTTAACGTGTCTTTTGGCAACTGCTTTTTTTTAGTGGACATTTAAAATATAGGAGCACTTCTTCAGTCAAAGTGATACAGAGAGTTATTATGCTGCGGCAGTTTGATTATAGGGGTTATTTTAGGTAATTCTTGATATTGCTTAGTAAATACTTATGTTAACGTAACTGATGAATCAGAGGAAATGTGTACTTCTTGCTTCATACAGGAAAGGAAATGCACTGTCTCATGGACAGGTGTGTTAGAACATGGTTTTCAGGTTCAAGATTCAGGTAGATACCCGTGCAGAAAGGAAGAATTAAGAGCTATGCTCTTCCAGTTCATCGCCTTGATGAACAAGGAGTGATGGCATCTATCTGTGAGAAGACTGAATTCATCTAACGACAGATACATCTACAGTGCTGTAGTAATGTGGGGCAGTAGCTTTGATTGTGTGGATAGCTCTGTATGCATGCTTCGGCTTTGTAGAGGCTTTGATTCATTTTGAGAAACCTTTGCTTGCAAACTGTTGGTTCCTCTTCTGGGCGCTTGTTTTTATATGACAGAAGTAATTCTGTTCACATGAAAACTCAAAACTTAATGAAGTACTCTGTCCTCTAATTTTTTTGCTGGTATTTCACTATTTCCATAATAGACTTGTAGGCAATCCTTTCTACCAGTTCTCTGACTTTCTGTGACTGTTCTCTCAGTTTGAGTGGGATTTTAATGGGTGAACTCATTTAGAAGTCTAAAGTTACTTCTGACAGCCTTAATCATGGGGATCATTAAGGAGCTTTTCAGCAACTGTAGCTTAAATGAGTACGTCTATCTTCTAGCTGTTGAAGAAAGAAAGAAGTAATCATGGCTGACAACAGCACACTGGTGTCTGAAAGCCGGAGGAGCCTCTTGGCTGATTCTTCTGTTCTCGATTCAAAAATTGTAGAAAACTCCAAAGAAAATGTGCTTCCAGGATCTGTTGTAGATGTTGAAGGTGATGTAAGGAGTTTAAGACCACTTTTACAATGACTGATTACTCTGTGGGTGTTAAGTTTTGGGAAGCTAGAAGTGCTTTGCTGAACTGCAGTTGTATGTAGTACAGCCTAAAGGGTGTTGGTATGGGATCCTTCCACTAGCAAAGGAGGAGTCTTAAATTTAAATGCCTTTTGTTATCAAAATCTTGGCTTATAGCCATGAAATTAAATGGGTCTTCTGACTATTGAAAGATTCTTCTATGGAGTAAATAATTTTAAGTGATAAATGGATGCAGGTGTTTGGAAACTGTAGTGGCTCTGTTGTGCAAAATTACAAGTAGCCTTTAAAAAGATTAATAATCTTGAGTTT